ACACACACACACACACACATATATATATATATATATATATATATATATATATATATTCAGGGGAAAAAACTACATGCACATTGTTATCGAAGATTACCACTGTTTCCAAACTTTTGTCAGGATCTGAAGCAGAAATTCTGTGACCATTCAGCAGTAACTCCTCATCCTCTTCAGCCCCTGTGAAATCACATTCTCTTAGTTACTTCCACAACTGAGGTGACAATAACACTCATCTTTTTTATAGCCTCTTTTAGTTAGCATGTCTTCAGGGTTCACTGGTGTAGCATATATCTGAATTTTGTTCCTCTTTAAGGCTGAGTAATATTCCATTGTGTGTATCCAGACCCTGCTTCCAATTTTGGCTTTGCTGAGCCTGAGAACAGCCTGTCTGCTGACTCTAAGTCTTGACTGACAGAGGGATCATCCTCTGTCGTTGAGATAATGACATAGTATATGGAAGCTCTCAGAACTGTGTCTGGGATAGAGTAGCAATGCCTCAGATAGTCCTTTGTAAGGCATGGCATTCTAAGGCAGATGTATGAAGTTGTTCCATGTGTTCCTTTATGTCATTTCAAATGACTGGGTGAAAATCACAAGTACCCAACACCTGTTAACCATGTCCCCTGCCCTCCACACCCTTCCTACACATTGCATTTTCTCCCAACCATTTCTGCAGTTAATGAGTACCTTCCTCCTCCTGGATAAATATATGCATCTCCAACTGTATTTGCTCCTTTTCATTGCTGTGATAAAACATTCAGACCAAAAAAAAAAAAAAATAGGGAAGAAAGAGTTGATTGGGCTTACAGGAGGCATCGTGGGGGGAGAAGGCATGGCGGTGGGAGCATGAAGCTGGCCTGGCAGTCATGAAGCAGAGATACCACATTTTGTACACACACACACACACACACACACACACACACACACACACACACACAGGAAGCAAAGACAGAGAACAGAAAGTGTTTATAAAACCTTAAAGCCTACCTCCAGTGATGTGTGCCTCTAGCAAGGCTCCATTTCCCCAAAGTTCCATAACCTTACCAACAGCATTGCCAACTATGGACCAAGTGTTCAGATACATCAGTCCATGCGGGACATTTTCTCATTCAGTTCACCACACCAAGCAAGGGTGTTCAAAGTCCTTGAAATGTTATCCCCAAAGAGAGAGGAATCTCAGGGATGTCCTTCCCAAGAATGGGTTAGCTACTTCACCATAGCTCGCAAGAACGCCCAGTAAGGACTTTTTAGTCACACCTCATTTTCTAATACCAGATTGATCCAGTGAGACCCGCTCCTCGTCTCTCTCCACCCACCAGACTTGACCTCAAGTCACTTTTGACATTTACAAAAAAAAAAAAAAATTCAAATCCATTCTGAGTGCTGGAAGAGTTCTTGCTGGCAAGGATGCTAAGTCTAAAACATGCTACCAGGGCAAGTCAAAAAGATAATCCTAAGTAGGAAAAAAAAATGTTGTATAGCACAGGCTAGCCTTGAATCCCCATTCCTCCTACCTTAGCCTTCTAAGTGTTGGAGTTATAGGTATGTACTACAATGCCCAGCTCAAAATACTTCCAGAAACAGCAAGCATCACAGATGAACTGTGGCTACTTTGAAAGAGATGGCAGTCATTCTGATGGACAAATTATGATCCACTGCATTTTAAGAGCAGTCGGCCTGATGCCTCATTACAACCCATAAATTCCATGCAGCCCAGCATCTTCTGGGAGGAACAGTAGCATGGGCAGTAGAGCCTGCAGCATCTCTCAGCATGTGCTCAAGCTTCAGAACTCAGTCTTGCAGCAATTCTGAGATGTGCCATGTGCATCCCTCTGCATGCCCTTTGTAGACTTCTTCCTATTATTGAAGGAAGGTTCGACTTCCAATCTTGAATTTCCTGCTGGCTTAGACTAAAATTGTAGTATGATGGGAATGGAAATAGAGAGTGTTAGATGCCATTGGTTCATCAAGGTAGGGTTTTCCATTGATCTCTAATTAGCAGGGGAAGAAGTGCTACCACCAGTTCAAACCCATGTGGATCTATGTGGTTTTCACTACATAAATGATGGTCATAGAGACAGGAGGAGCCAGAAACTGCTGCCTGATCTCTGGGCCTATTTCTGCCCTGTATGATAGACAACCTAAAGGTGTGTAAGAGGTACTTAGGACAGCGCCTACCACACAGCAAATAGACACAGTTCATGGTTCAGTGTAGGAATGTTGGACTCAACATTGATACAAAAATGATATGCGTTCAGTAAAAACTGTACTTTGAATTCTGCATCTGGATTTTTCCCTGGATCAGGCCATGTGCTACAATCTCCTCTAATGATGCTGAAAGCCAGAGCCCCCAAGTTATCCATGTGATCACCAGACAGAAACAGCCACACCATGGCAGGTGTGATGCAGCAAGGCAAGGTTGTCATCCACCAAGCCCAGGCCTAGAAACTTGCATCTTAGTCACAAAATAAATCATAATGGTGTTAAGTTTACTCACACCTGTAGCACTGTGTTGCTAAACTTTGGTGCTCATATTAAATGCATTTGTACCTAATAGTATCTTCAGATTGCAATGGGCTTATCAGAAAGTAACTTCATCCCAAGAATGGGAGGGTCTGCCTGTGTTTGCTGAACAAATCAAATTGTAAAAGACATCCTCCTATCAGTACAGTATAAGGTGGGGAAGGAAAGTCATCAGGCTGAACAGCCCCACTAAACACCAAGTGCTATTTGTTAATAGAATCAATCTTACAGAGCCTCTGTCTGTTACCTGAGAGCTTCACCTTGGCTATTTTTGTGTAGCAGTGTCTCTCTCAGTCTTTATCTTTCCCTCCCTCCCTCCCTCCCTCCCTTCCCCCCATCGTGTGTGTGTGTGTGTGTGTGTGTGTGTGTGTGTGATGTAGTCCAGGCTAGCCTCAAACTTGCTATGTAGCTGAAGACAGTCTTGAACTCCTGATCCTCCTGGCTTCACTTCCTGTAGGAATACAGCCATGCCCCAACGCAACCAATTTTATCCTGTGCTGAGAATCAAACATGAGACTTGGTGCATTCAAGGCAAGAACTCTACCAACTGGACCACAACCAAGCCCCTCTTTGGGTTTTACAAAAGTCATTTGTGTTTATGTAGTTAGTGGGACTGAGTTTTCAGATATTACACTGAGAACATGCTAGAAACCCAAGATGGTAGCATGATTTAGTGAAAGTCCATGGTGACTTAATCTTTTCCCTTTGTGTTCTTCTTCCAGCCCAAGCTTTTGGCCAAGGAGCTTCTTGACCTGGTGGCCTCTCATTTTAACCTGAAGGAAAAGGAATACTTCGGAATTGCATTCACAGACGAGACGTAAGTGCTATCCAGAGCCAACAAGACCCCAAACAAAAGAGCAGGATGGGAAAATTTGCCCTCCCTCAGCTGTGCACAGCAAAATCAGCTGCAGGCTACTTGGGTCCTGTGGGGGCTGGGGGGTCAGTCCAAGTTCACCATCTGAATTTCAAAAACCGGTGATCGTGCCTGGAGCAGCCAAAGCATATAATTAGACAGATGCTAATATTATGAAATTATTAGGTCAACATTATTATAATCAAGCAGATTCGTGTTCAAACTGAGATGTTTATTTTTTTAAGTAGATCTGTGTGGGTTTGGTTTTCATTAAGGTTAAATGAAAACTTCTGGAAAGTAAATGTTTCTCTCCAGTATTGGAGAAACAATAACAGGAAGTGGAGTTGATGATAAATTCAGGGCAAAAGATGATAGCTTGGCAGTTTCATATTCTAAGCTGAAATAGAGGATACAAAATCAACGTGCGTATCACCTATCTGATGTAAGTGTGTTTGCTTTCAGCAGCCTTCCAGCTCAGGTTATGTTTTATAATAAAGAAAGGGATAGGTTCATGGAATTTTTTTTCTCTCTTGGTAGATTTGGTGTTTGGTGAAGATCAGCCCAAATCCTTAGATAAGAACAAGCTAAAGACTGCAGCTGGGACTGAGTGGTGAAGCGCTTTCCTAGACGTGTGTGGCCCTTGATTCTATTGTAACAGGGGTGACTGTAATTGTCTAAGGGATGCCAATAGTTCCTCGGCACAAAGAGTTGAAATGTGTGGGGTCAGGAAAGTCAGAAGACCAAGCCACAGAGAAAGGGAAAGTAACAGCTTTGTGCATTCATGATGGGAGATGCCCAAGGCTGGAAGTCCGTTAAACAGATGCTGGTCTGAGTATTTTGTAGGACTCCTAGACCCTCCTTTTCCCCCTATTGGACATATCTGGATATCAACCCCCTTATCTTCCCAGATTCCCCTCTCAATGTTTTCTGGGAATGAGAAGTAGCTGCCTCAGAGAGCCTGCCCTCACTTTCCCTGTCTGCCTTGTTCCTCAAACTATTTCCCCATCCCCTGCACCAGGAAACAAAATAAAACAATAACCTACTTTAAATAAATGTTCCCTAAGAAGTCCCCTATGTGTGTATATTCATGTCCACACACCCTCCACATCTTTAGAATTACAGACATGGTTTCCTAAAATGCTCATAAGTCAGGGTGAGGTCAGTGGCTGGGTAGGATAGTAGAATCCAACCCAGACCCCAGGAGTGAGGTAGGACCATAGAGGTAGGATGGGTTCCAAAACAAGAATAGGCACCTTCTGTGTCGGTCAGTGGGAAAGAGACCATATGCATCTGTGTATATGGCTGTGGTAGGCCTTGGGGATCCGTGAGTTGACAAGGTGCCCACACACAGACATGAGGACCTAACTTCAATCCCTAGAACTCAGGTTAAAAAATAAAAGCTTGGTTTGGTGAACCACATTTGTAATCCCAGCATGGGAAAGACAGAGATGTTATGGATACTCTCAGCAAAGGATCAGTCATGCACTCAGAGAGACAGGTGAACTCGTTTTTGTTTAGGAGGAGGCAAGGACCCAGGCTAATGCTTTGGAAAGGCCTAGCAGTCCTCCACAATTTCTTACAGCTTTTATAGGTCAGAGAACAGTGTAGCCATTTGAGAACAGTCTTGGAGTCTCATACCCTTCAAAAGGAATTTCTGTCACAGTTAGGCATGCTTACACCAATAGAAACTGCAGATGTGAGCATTTTACAGATAGGCATTTTGCAGCTAGCAATAAAATAAAAGCACACAAACATCTGAAATGGCAATTAAAAAAATATCCTTTCTTGCTAGGTATAGTGCTGCATGCCTTTAATCCCAGCACTCAGGAGGCAGTGGCAGGCAGATCCTGTGTGAGTTCCAGGACAGCCATTGCTACCTAAAAAGACCCTGTCTCAAAAGCAAAACAAACAAACAAAACTAACAACTAACATCCTTTCGTAGCAAACAGGAGCTACAGTATAACCTTTAACCAGATAGCTGTGCCAATTACACCATGAGGTATCCTAGCAGATATTTGCCTTCCTAGGATAAAGAATACAAACAAGTTAGCAGAAACTGGCATACCTAAATATAATTTTGACTCATTTTACTTCTGCACAATTCTATAATTTTTAGGCAAAGACTTCTACTAGACTATCATAAAATAAAGTAACAATTTGATTTTTTTAGCTGTATATTCAAGCACATAAAATATATATTCATATCATCTCTTCAGAGACAAATTGACCTCTTAGGCACACTGTTCTACCCTACTCTGCAGTGAGAGATATTGTCTCAAGAAATATGGTGGGAGACTGGAGAATAGCTCAGCAGTCAAGAGTACTTGCTGTTCTTACAAAGGACCTAAGCTTGGTTCCCGGTACCCACAGGGGTGGCTGACAACCACCTCTAACTCCAGCTTACAATGTTCTGACCTATGCAGACACCGACACATGTACACACATAAAAGTAACAAATCAATAACATTTTCCAAAAGAAATGAAAAGGTGAACAGTAACTGACAAATCCAAGGTTATCCTCTGATCTCACACGTGCACACACACATGTACCCCACATACAAGCGCTATTTGGAGCAGTGGATGTGCAGAAGCAATGGGAAGTGCAAAGCATCCTTTTCCTCACAAATGGAGCAAGATCAGCTCTGTCTGGGGCTGGAGTCCACAGGGCACTGAGGGGCAAGGCAGGCAGGCCGGCCTTCCCTGGTCTCCAAGGACCTCCACCTGCAGGTCAGGAGAGGTGCAGGCAGGAAAGCATCTATCTGGCAGATAATAAAGAAGAAACCTTTCAAACAACTACCCATTTAGACAAACCGACTTTCACAAACACAGACATCCTCTATCCTCTCTGCTGAGAATCCCCATAAGCAAGCCCCCTAATTACTCCCCATGCTGTCCCCACTGATTGGAAGGAAACCGTAAGCCTCAATTAATCATAGCCTCATTGTTCTCATTTCCCAAGTAAGTTTACTCAATTTAAAGAGTCCGTGAACTCTGGATGGTCCCAATTAGACTTGCCTTCAGCGTCAACAAGAGTCAAAGAATGAGCATGTTATCTTAGGCCAGAGAGGAAGAAGTCTGTGTGCTGAGTGAGGATTACAGACCACAGCCCTGATAGCCCTAGTCAAGAGCAGTTACTGGAAAGATGAAAAGGTAGAAAGTCAGTCTTCCCCCGAGGGCAGAGGAGGACACAGAAGCCACACATCAAAGGCGGGATGTGCACGCCCTTGAGTCTATAGACCTATGAAGTTGGGAGCTGAGCTCTCCTGATTTTCTGCTGGTCTGATAGCCTATGGGTGTGTGTCCACTCGTCCATAGATGATGTGTGTAGAGGTCACTCTCAAGAGAAGCTTCACACTCCCCAAAGCAGATGTCCCAGGCACCCTCTGGCTGGTCTTGAGAATGCACAGAACTACCAACATTTCCTCCCAGATCTGAGTGGGAGGGTGTCTCCAGCCACAGTGCCAGTGGCAAGCCACCAGCAAGGACCATGAAATATAGTTGGGCCACCTGTTGGTTCCTGAATGAAAACTGGCAGGTGTTCCTGGTGCACTATGGGAGAAAGGGCAAGTGTCAATCCCAGAGAAAGTCAAGCCTCTGAGTGGCTAGCAAAGGAAACTGACCAACTAAACAAGGACGAGGGAGACTTAGAGAACAGTCCTTCATGGCCTGATAATACCTGGACCTCCATACATCTCTGGGCCTCTTTGGTAATTATAACACTTCTTTTCCTTTTACGAAAGGGAAGACCAGGCTGGAGAGATGGCTCAGAGCTTAAGAGCACTGACTGCTCTTAAGTCCTGAGTTCAATTCCCAGCAACCACATGGTGGCTCACAACCATCCATCATGAGATCTGGTGCCCTCTTCTGGTGTGCAGATATACATGGAAGCAGAATGTTGTATACATAATAAATAAATAAATAAATAATCTTTAAAAAAAGAAAAAGAAAGGGAAGAACAAAGGTTGCCTTTTGGATTTGTGCTTGGAGGGGCTGGTGATTCCTATGTCCAAGAGCATCTGCATGCCAAGTAACTCTAACATGAAGTGTGTGTGTGTGTGTGTGTGTGTGTTGTGTACTGGAAATCAAATGCAGGACCTTGTGCATGCTGGACAAGTACAATAACAGCAGAGCTACAGCCTCATCTCAACATGAAACATTTTAATAACTGTTCAAATTGGACATATGTACCCCCAAGGTGTTTGTATATATGTGAGTGTGCACATACTGTACTCTTTTACACACACACACACACACACACACATACACACACTCACAGCAACAGTAGTGTTGTCATTGGTCTGTGGCAGTTTGTGGTAAAATACATGAATCTGCCTATTACCCAATTCAAATAAAACAAGATTCAGACCTGCAAAGTGGCTACAAGCTGGAAGTCACTCTGTTAGGTGTCACTTGGCATGGAGAGGCAGGGGAAAAGCTACATTAGTGATTCTTGACACAGGAATCACCAACCCAGAGCAGATCACACACTCAAGCACAAGTTCAAGGGACAGCATTGGCCTCCCTGAAGTAACAGGAGTGTCTGCTAGACTGTATGGTTCTTAGGTTAGAGATTGTCTGTCATCCTTCAGTGTTAATTCTGGTGATGACATTTTGTGGGGTCCAGATGGAACCATGAGGAAAATAAATACATGTTAATTAATTACTTAATAATAAAAAAGTAAATGCCGACAGGAAATTGGAAGTTTCCCTAGCCTTCTGTCCCCCATAATTGGTATTTATTGATAAAGTATCAGAGACAACAGTGTAAAACTTTACACCCAAGAATACTGAATGCTGTTGGCAACCTGTTTTTGCAGCATTGATATGAGCTTTTCTTTTCTCGTTATTTTATTTTGAAGCTTTGGGGGGGGGGTTGAGACAGGGTTTCTCTTTGGTTTTGGAGGCTCTCGAACTCACATAGATCTGCCTGCCTCTGCCTCCCCAGTGCTGGGATTAAAGGCGTG